TTGTTTTCTGATGAACCACCCCAAACTTCAAATTTCACCCCCCCTCCACAACCCTCTCAAGGGAAACCCACTCGGAATTATTAGGCAATCAGAAATCCCCCATCTCCAGGCAGTAGCTATCACTTCTTTATGTTGATTCAAAATTTTCAAGGCTGAAAATTGTTCATTCAATTCTCTTACTTTTTGGAATCTCTGCTGCATTTGTAAAAACCAGATTTTTGTTGAGACTCAGCTTTTGACTTTGTTGATCCTGTTTTTTGGGGGAGGGGGTGTTGTTGCTGAAAACTGGGAACCAAGATTCTAATTTCTATATCAGTATTTCTGTATCAGTAATTTCTGCTGCTTATTTTCTTCCTTTTACTTTAGATTTATTGTTCTTTTTCTACCTTCTTAAATTGGATGTTTTAGCTTATCAATTTTCAGCCTTTTCTAACAATTTAAAATTTACCAATTTAGTGCATCTGCTCCTCCCACCAAGACTCACACAATGCAGATTTCTCCTAAATGGAAAATAGGCTTGGATGCAGGACAGGCCAAATACACACACACACACACCAATTTAGCCCCCTTCCATCATTTTGATATGCAGTTCTTATTGCTTACTTTTATGTAGTTTCTAATTTTTATTATGATGTAGTCCTTGACCCATGAATTTTTTTTTAAAAAAAGACTTTGCTGTTTAAGATTTTATTTATTTGAGAAAGAGAGTATGAGCAGGAGGAGGGGCAGAAAGAGAAGGAGAAGCAGAATCCCCCTTGAGCAGGGAGCCCTGAGATCATGACCCCAGCCGGGGGCAGATGCTTAACCAACTGAGTCACCCAGGCGCCCTGACCCATGTTTTTTTTTTTTAATGTGATTTTTAAAATGTCTAATTATATGACTTTCTTTTGTTGTATTTTCATTGTTCATATCTGACTTAGTAACACTGTAGTCATAGAACATGGTCTGTATGATGATTTGAAATTTGTTGAGGCTTGTGCTGTCGGTTACTATGTGATCAATCTTATATTCTGTGCGCTTCAGAAGATACGTGTTCTCTAATTACTGAATACAGTGTTCAACATATGTCCATTATGTCAAACATGTTAACTGTGTTCAAATGTATATACTTACTGTTTTTCAGCTAAAATTGTGTTAATTTTCCACAAAAATGTTGAATTTATCAATTTCTCCTTATAGTTCATCGTTTTATACATTTGAAGCTATATTATTAGGTCCATGCAATTTGTAATCTTTGTACCCTTCTCATAAATATAATCTTTTAACTTCTTTATCTCAAAAAATATTTTATTTCTATAATGGTTTTGTCTTTTGGTTAGTATCTGGCAGGTATAGCTTTCTCCTTCCTTTTACTCTAAATCTTCCTGTGTCCTAATGTTATAGATGTGTCTCACATAAAGGGCAGAGAGCTGGATTTAAAACAGTTCCATCTTCAGTATTTGTCTTTTAATTAGTATATTTAGTCCATTTGTAAATAATTGTAATTATTAGTGTATGTGGATTTATAATATTTTATCTTCTTCTTGTCCAATTTTTTTTACATTAATCTTTTATATTTTGTTTTGCATTCTTTTGGGTTGATTTTTCTTTATTTGATTTTTTTCTTCTGCTGATCTGTGAATGCGACAGAAACCACGAGTGCTTTTTTTTTTTTTTAAGATTTTATTTATTTGACAGAGAGAGACACAGCGAGAGAGGGAACACAAGTAGGGGGAGTGGGAGAGGGAGAAGCAGGCTTCCCACTGAGCAGGGAGCCCAATGCGGGGCTCGATCCCAGGACCTTGGGATCATGACCTGAGCTGAAGGCATCCGCTTAACGACTGAGCCACCCAGGCGCCCTCCCACTAGTGCTTTCTAACAACTGTGTTCTCTGTTCTTCTGGCCTTTTTGTTCTGGCCAGTGGAATGTGGACAGAAGTCATGTACTCCACTTTCAGATCTGGCCTATAAAACGCATTCTCTTTCCCTATCCATCAGATCGCTGGCAAAAACTCCAGAATCTAGAGAAGGGAAGCGCACCAAGATGAAAGAAGTCTTGGTTCTTTAATGACTGGATGTAGAACACTCTCACCCTTATTCCAGCCTATATTGTACTATATTCTGATGTAAGCAGGAAATAAAATCGGATTGTATGAAGTCACTGAGACTTTGTATTGAAACTGTTAGAGAAGCTATCATTATTTACCTTAACTAATACATAAATTATAGTTTCTTTTTTAGTAGTTACTCTTGAAATTTTAACATGCATCCTTATCAAAGTCTAAAGATCAATATTATTTTTGTCATCCTGCTGAGAGGAATACTCTATCTCTAGCTAGGTATGATTGTTTCCAGTATTTTTGTTCATCACTTTTTTTGACCTTACAAATTAGCCATTGTTATTACTGCTTTATGAAGTCAGTGTGTGTTCACATTTACCCACATTATCATTAGTTTCTTGGCTTGACATTTCTTGTCTCAGGTCTCAGATCTTCCTTCTCAGATCATTTTCCTTTTCCTGGAAGCACATACCTTACCAAAGATTTGTGAGTGGAAAATTGTTTTGTTCACCTGAAAATATCTGTATTTTGCTTTGTTCTTGAGGAATAGTTTTTGCTGGATTTATAATTCTTGTTTTTAAAAAGATTTTATTTATTTATTTGATAGAGAGAGACACAGCAAGAGAGGGAATACAAGCAGGGGGAGTGGGAGAGGGAGAGGTAGGCTTCCCGCTGAGCAGGGAGCCCGATGCAGGACTCGATCCCAGGACCCTGGGATCATGACCTGAGCCGAAGGCAGACGCTTAACGACTGAGCCACCCAGGCGCCCCTGGATTTATAATTCTAAATTGACAGTTATTTTCTCACTTCTTGGCAGATACTTTCCCACTACCTGGCTTCTCTTGCCATTGAAAAGAAACCAGCTATGAAATAGTCATTCCTTTGTAAGTAATGTCTTTTCCGAAAGGTTGCTCTTTAGATCTATTTTTGGTGTGCTCCAGTTTCCTTTTATTTATCCTTCTTTGGATTTGTTGTGCTCCCTTGGTGCAAGGATTTCTATCTTTCCTTGATTTTGGAAAGTGTTCAGCATTTTTCTCTTTGCAAGTTGCCTCTTCCCTATTCTTCCAATGATCACTTTCTGGAGCTCCTATTACACGTATGTTAGACTTTCTCCCACTACCCTCCCTTCTCATAATCTCATATAGTAAACATTTAAAAATTTCTAATTCAACTATAATTAACATACAGTGTTATATTAGTTTCAGGTGTACAATATAATGATTCAAAAATTCTATACAATGCTCATCAAGATAAGTGTAATATTGGGGCCCCTGGGTGGTGCAGTTGGTTAAGCATCTGACTCTTGGTTTCTGCTCGGGTCATGATCTCAGGGTTGTGAGATCAAGCCCTGAGTTGGGCTCCATGCTCAGTGCAGAGTCTGCTTGAGATTCTCGATCCCTGCCTCTCCTCCAGCTTGTGTTCTCACTCCCCCAAATAAATAAATAAAATCTTAAAAAAAAGATAAGTGTACTCTTGATCCCCTTTATTTCACCCATCCCCCGGGCAACCACCAGTTTGTTCTCTGTATTTAAGCCTGTTTTTTTGTTTGTCTCTTTTTTGTTTGTTCGTTTCTTAAATTTCACATATGGTTAATCTCATATTTTTAATACTGTAGTTTCTCTGTGCTATATTATTGGTAATTTCTTTGATTTGTCTCTTCCTAGTTTTCTTTTTTCTCTCTTTTTTAAAGATTTTATTTATTTATTCGACAGAGAGAGACACAGCAAGAGAGGGAACACAAGCAGGGGGAGTGGGAGAGGGAGAAGCAGGCTCCCCGCTGAGCAGAGAGCCCGACGTGGGGCTCGATCCCAGGACGCTGGGATCATGACCTGAGCCAAAGGCAGACACTTAATGACTGAGCCACCCAGGCGCCCCTCTTCCTAGTTTTCTAATTGGTTGTTTAACCCATCCATTGATGTTTTTAATCTTTGTGATTTTTTTCATTTCTAAAAGTTCTTTTTGGTTCCTTTACAAATACCCTGATCATTTCTGAGAGTCTCTTGTACCTCTTAATTTCAACTCTTTTTCTCTTTATTTTTTTTAAGATTTTATTTATTTATTTGACAGAGAGAGACAGCGAAAGAGAGAACAGAAGCAGGGGGAGTGGGAGAGGGAGAAGCAGGCTCCTTGCTGAGCAGGGAGCCTGACACAGGGCTCCATCCCAGGACCCCAGGATCATGACCTGACCCGAAGGCAGATGCTTAACAACTGAGCCACCTAGGTGCCCCTGTCTTTAAATATATTAAGCATATTTTAGTTTATATTATGCACCTGATAATTCCAGTACGTTAGGTCCTTGCAGCTGTGATTCTGCTACTTGTTGTTTCTGCTAATCCTCCCTTAGGGTACCTTTTGCCTTGCATGTTTTAGGATTTCTTCTTCTGAGCTCATGTTCATGGAATTCTGTGAGGCTTGGCAGAGGTTCTGTTTCCCCCAGAGATCATTTGTATTTACTAATGACAGGTGCTGGGGGTAAGGTGCTATCCACTAAGCACCTTTTATATTAATCTCAACTTGGAGGGTGCCTGGGTGGCTCAACTGTTAAGTTGTTTTCTGGTATGTTTTAGGTGTCTTATACTATGGTGTGTCTTGTTTGTCTTATTTTGTTGTCACCTCGCCCTAGATGAAGTATTCCTTGGCTCTTCAATCTCTGAAGTTAACCTCTACTCTCTCTCATTCCCTGCCAAATATCCTTCCATCAGGCTCCTAGACAACCATAGTAAAAATATATAATGTGTAAAGTTTTAAGTCCCTTGGTAGACTTGGTAATCAACTATTCCAAGTATTTAAGAGATACATGAGGAAGTCACCAATTATTAACCACTTTGCCATAATTAGTGAATCTACTGCTTTCTGAGAAAACTGTCGCTATCTGTTTAGGAAGGACCAGGCAGAGAGGGCCTGGGATTCTAGCATTTGAATTGAACAAAGTCAATGGAAGGCAAGAACGGGAGTTGGGCATTTTTTTTATGACAAAAGCAAAGTTCCACTGATGTAGTTACCAGCACCATTTTTACCTTAGTTTCATAGGGATGAGACCTGACACAGACCAATTCCAAGAGGAAGGCAGCCTAGGAGAAGTAGGATCAGCAGTCACCATCAACCAAATACTGGAAGTTAAAGAATACCGTTATTATGTGTCTGGTGAGGGCAAGTATAGGAGATGCAGAGAATCGCTGCTATGTTAACCTCCATCTGGCCAGAAAAAAACTTTCCCAATCCAGGAAAACAAAATGTCTTGGGTCCAGTTACATTAGCAGGTGCTACTTTTACCTTTTCTAATGTCAAGTTGCCAGCCAGAGAGTTCTACTTTGAAAAAGAAGTGATGTTTTGCCAAATAAACCAAGTCTTTATTTCCAAGATGAATTACTCACATGGCAGAGAGGTTTTTCCCTGTTACTTATCCATTTTATTAATCTTTTGACTTTTCCTCACCTGAAGCCGTGGATAGGACTTCAGTGAGTTCTCTTTAGCTTCAGGTTTGAAGATAACCGTGGCCCCACTGTGAATCATGGAGACTGTGAAATCCACGCCAATGAGTGTGTACAAGAAGTAGGCAGGGATAGGCAAGATGGTAATGGTGATGAGGATGATGAGCAAGACCTTAGCCCATGATGGATAAATTCGGATCACCTCATTTGACTGTGGAGAAAGAGAAGGTTTAGAATACCCAGGTTCTCTGAAATGGAAGGCTACAAAGGTTGGGGGTAAGACATGAACCAAGGCCAGAGACTAGGTAACTGAATCCCTAAGGGAATCAGGGAATAAGGTGACAGAGTCCTAGAGGCCAGAGGAGATTGAAAAGTCCTCAACCACTCCCTAGGGTAGGGGATTCTGGGGTCTTAGAGGAAGGCTCACAATGCTTGAGTCCCAGGCCAAGTAGTTGATGGTCTTCAGAAACAGATGAAGCAGGGTGCTTACAAACAGGACTAGCAGCACAAATGGAGACAGAAAACACCACAGCCAACGATAGATGGGAGAGATGGGGCGGCCCAACATGATAATCAAGTCTGCAAGGAACCTGGGAGGAAGGGCCACAAGACTTGGGGGGGGCCTGTTCAGGCCTTACCCAGCCTTGGGGAGGGGTCAGTCCAAACTCAGCCTGGGAGACAAAGCGTCACATTTCTTAAACCTTTCTGTTCACCTCCACAACCAGTTTTCTTGCCTCTAATTCATCACCTTTCAGTCTGATTTCTGTCCCAGCCCCAGGATTTAAAAAAAAAAAAAATTTCTCTCCTCCATCACCCTCAGGATAAAAGCCAATATATCCAGTCTCTAAATGTAGTTTCTTCATGCCCATATATCCAGGTATCTTTGGTGCACCTTCTTAACTCCAACATATGTGCACATTGGGTTTCTTTTTTGCCTAGAATGCCCTTCTTTCTTTCTCTTGACAAACTCCCCTTCCTCTGTCTAGATTCTGTTCAAGCATCCTCTCCTTGCCTTCTTTAGATAACCATCTGTGTTCCCAGAGTGCCCTCAGCTGCCTCTATCATAGGCTTACTATCCTGCCCCCAAATCTACCTTTGTATGTCTTCTTCTTTCAACTCTGAGAGCAGAAACTCAATGTAATTTATCCCAGTATCCTCAGTGCTCACAAGGCCTGCCTGGTCCTTGGGCACACTCTGGGCAATATGTGAGAGTGAGTGTATGATCAGCAAACTGATGCCAAGAGCCACCATCACCTAGAAACACTGCCACATTTAGATTACACACTGTTTCTCAAATGCTAGTGTGCACACAATTTACTTGGGGTTCTTATTAAAATGCAGATATGGATTCAAAGATCTGGGGTACATGCTGAGGGTCTGCATTTTTTTTTTTTAAGATTTTATTTATTTATTTGAGAGAGAGAGAATGAGAGACAGAGAGCCTGAGAGGGAGGAGGGTCAGAAGGAGAAGCAGACTCCCCGCCGAGCAGGGAGCCCGATGCGGGACTCGATCCCGGGACTCCAGGATCATGACCTGAGCCGAAGGCAGACGCTTAACCATCTGAGCCACCCAGGCGCCCAAGGGTCTGCATTTCTAATAAACTCCCAGGTGATGCCAATGCTACTATTCCAGAGCCCACTTTGAGAAGCAAGGAATTACATGCCCACGCCTACAAGCAGGGCTCAAGAGCCACTAGGACTTGATATGGACTGTCCATCACTTTTCCATTCTACACCTGTTTTCTCCAGGAGTCAGCCCGTGCCTTCTTCTCCTTCCCATCTCCCTGGGGGCTCTCCAAACGCCCTGGGTCAGAGGCCTAACAGTGAGAACAGGAGGGCCAATACTCCCTAGGGGACCTCACTGTGTGGGTGCATGACTGCAGATTCTGGGCTTGGGGAATCACCTTCTGGCTCCATAGATCCAGGCCATGGCTATGTTCTCCAAGATGACAATGAAGAAGATGGGCAGAGATACCCAGTAATCATCCAGCAGGTTCACATAGTAGCTACCCGAAGGCGTCACGAAAATGAGGCTGCCCAGGAACATAGGCACACAGACGCCCACTGAGGGAAAACATCAGATTTGGATCAAGGTCAGAATTCAAACTAGGTTGTGTAAGAATCCCAGTAGGGTTAAGCTAAACAATGGTCCTAGGTGGGAGTGGGGACATAGGTTAGAGTACCTGTGAGCAGATTTGTATATTTCCTGAGGGAAGAGAAAGTGTCCTGGAGAGGAGTAACAATGCCCTGCATGATCCCCATCATGGTGCTCAGCCCCAGGCTCACCAGCAACAGGAAGATGATGATGGCCCAGAAGGTGGATCCAGAAAACACAGAGGTGATATTGGTAAACGCCACAATGGCCACACCAGGACCCTCCATAACCTGTGATGGGATGAAGGGCAAGAGCTCTGAGCTCACGCTGTAGAATCTTAACTGCATTCCTGTCCCCTCCCCTAGGACACAATCTATAGCACCATTAATAGACATTGTTAAACTCATCTGGCCTTGAGGCAGGAGGACTTCTTCCGACAACAGCTGCTGGTCTGGCAACTCTTTTGGGTTGGTATGAACACGCTTATATGAACTCCAGGGCTTGGTGCTACAGAGGCTACAGCTGCCTTATTGCAATAGGGTACTGTGAACCTTGAACCTTGGTCTTGGTTGTCCAGTATGCTGTCAAGAATTGCCCTTCTGGATTCTAGAGACACCTATGGAGAGCTGAAGTTTCTGGTGCACTGGGGGTTTTGAAGGGAAGATAAGGACCCCATCCCCAACCCTTACCTACCTCCGTCAATTCATGAGCTATGTTGCAATTGGTCATATAGGGTAGGACCGTGTCTTTGACTTGTTTAGGGAGGCTCTTGAGCCACCCAGAGTAGATGGAGCTTGGATCATGATACATACTGTCTGGGGGGTGGGCCTCGGCAGGCAGCACCCCAGCAGCTATCAGATACTGCACTGTCTCAGCATTCCTGGGGACAAGGGTAGAATTACATAAAATCATTATGGCCCTTTAAGATAACTTCTCTTATCTTCTACATGAGAAGAAAAACCACTAGTCTAGAGTTTTTGATCTGCACTGAAACCTGGGTCTCCAGGGTCCCAGTGCTCACTGTCTGACACCTACTTTCATAAGGTGTCTGCCGGAGGCCAGAGAGTTTCTGACTTAAGTGGGGCCCTGGAGGGGCTCTTTCATACAATGTCATGTAGGGCTTTAGGACCTATACCTCCTACTAGACAATCTTAGGACAATGTTAAAGCTTCTCAGCTTTCTTGACCTACTGGCCTCTCCAATCTCCTAACATATAACTCTTCACCTTCTCTGCTTCGGCCACATTCAATTATTCAACCTGCTCCAACCTGCCATGCTCCCCATCATCTCTGTATCTTTGGCACATGACATTCTCTCTGCCTAGAACCACCCCCACTCTGCTCCTGCTCAGTCTACCCCAATTCTACCACTATACGGTTCTCCATATGCAAATTCCTACAAATCCTCACTCAGCTCCCCGAACCCTATTTACTGCCATGGAAAGCTATTCAAAATCCATTTCCATAAGAGCAAGTCAACAAGCTGCAGAAGAGTAGTATGGTATGATCCGATTTTTTTAATGGTATGTTTTTATATGTAGGTATGAATGGGAAACAGCTGAAAGGCTACTAGCTGTGGTTATTTGTCAGGAGACAGATTGAGCTCGGGATTGCCTCCAGGAGGAAGCATTCTCTGACTGCCCCAGGAAGTTAATAGCTTGCTCTTCTGTGTTTCTCATCATCCTTACTACCAGTTCTCATCTCCTTGTGATTATCTGTTTAGTATCTGCTTCCTAAAAAGACTGAGCAGATTTGTATATTTCCTGAGGGAAGAGAAAGTGTCCTGGAGAGGGGTAACAATGCCCTGCATGATCCCCATCATGGTGCTCAGCCCCAGGCTCGCCAGCAACAGGAAGATGATGATGGCCCAGAAGGTGGATCCAGAAAACACAGAGGTGATATTGGTAAACGCCACAATGGCCACACCAGGACCACACCGGGACCACACCTGAGGGCAGGTATGATGGTCTGCTTCACCATTGGCTGTCTTTCCAGAACCCAACACAGGGTTGCCAGATAGATGTTTTATAAATGTCTGATGAGAATTTTGAGAATGAATCTCACAGGAGAAAAAAAATCAGGAATGGGCTATGGGGACTCTGGTGGGGCTATGAGTCCTTTTTATTTTTTTCTTATCTATTGATTCTGCTGAACCTATTCTCCTAATTTTCCATGGCAGACCCCAGTTAAGAATGGGGTGAACACAACTTTGAAAACCTCCAAGTTTGGGGCTTTCCTAGTTTAGAAAGGCTCTGAAAGAGTTGGAGAGATTCAGGTGTTTCGAAGGTTCAGGAGGCTCTTGTCAGAGGGTCCCATATTGACTGAGCCAACAGCCCTGAGGGATGGGGGCCTAGACTGGAATTCCGTGAGCTATTTCTAAGACTTTGGTCTTTTTGATGATCTCCATATGAAAGATTGGGCTCACCTCAGGTAACATTTTTCATTGTTCTCTGTGGCCAAGTGGCCCATTATGGCAAATACAAACACCATGGCAGTCAGTGAGGCTGTCAAGTTGAGAAAAGCCACAACAAAGGCATCCATGACACAGTTGTTGGACCGAGGTCTGTATGAGCTGATTGCAGTGATGCTGCCAAAGCCAGGGCCCATGGATAAAAAGAGCTGGTTCCCTGTCCGGCGCCACACTTCCACAGAGTACAGGGCTGGTACCTGGGGAGAAGTATTGTGTAAACTGGGATATAAAGGGAAGAGGAGTAAACCATGATATGATGGAAGATGAGAAGGTGGTGAAGGAGGGAGCCAGGAGGGCCTCTATCAGACTGACCACCATTCTGTCTCTGACACCCCCATGTGGATAAGAGGATCAAAGGGCAGGGGACACCTCACCTTGGCAGCCAACAAATTCTTGAGACCAAAATGTGCGCCTTCCAGCATGAGACTCCGGATAAGGAGACAGAAAAGGATGAAGTAGGGAAGGAGTACTGACACATACAGCATCTGAGTGGGAAGTATGATTCAGAAATAGAGGTTAGCAAAGGCAGAAGCTGGGCCAGTAGGATCAAAGACTACTGAGAGTCAAAGGTCATATTAGAAGGAGTTAGAAGTTGGAGACCTACAGGCATCAAGTTAGGAGAATATTAGGGGGTCTCAGATAGAAAGGAGTCTATCAGATTGTAAGTTAGAGGATGGCTCACCTTCCCAGTGGACTTGGGTCCTTTGATCATGGAGATGCAGATAATTAACCATGTCATAAAGAGAGAGACACTGAGATGCATAACTGGTAGTCCACCCATTTCAACTTCATCTGTGGCCTTCAATATATTCCGGTACCAAAAGTATGTGGTGGGTGTTGTCCGCTCACATTCAGGATCTGAGGTGAACTGGCCATGGAGGAAACTGCAAGACCACGTGCCTCCCTCTTCCAATCCCCCTCCACCCCCTCCTTCCAATCTCCATCATCTTCCTGCTCATCCCTATTCTCTCAACGATCCTCTTCCTTCTTCATTGCCCTATCCTTTTTTCAGCCCTCCCACTTGCCATTTTCTTCCCTCTCTTCTCACCAAAATCACTGGAGTTCCTCAGTAAGGGGCACTTTGACCAAGGCAGTGGAGACTGGAAAGACTGTCCCAAATAGAAGAGACTCCAAGCCATGAGCACACTGTAGTACAAACCCACGATGCAGCACACCTAGGAACCATGAAGAATTCTGGAGACAGAAGGAAGGTAGGCCAGCAGAAGGGAGGGGATTTGACCAGAGGACTGGGGAACTGAAGAGACTTGACCCATAGAAGTAAAGTCATGGGACCTATCCCAGGACAAGGAACTGTTGGGGTGGGAGTGGGGCATAAAGGGTAGGCCTGGGCAACCCAGGACTCCTCACCATAAAGCTGGTATACCCCACACCACCAATCCAGGGGCTGATGACCTTCCATACACCAATGCTGCCCTGACGCATCCTCTGACCAGCTGCCATCTCCAGGAATAGAAGAGGAACCCCGACCAAGAACAGCATGAGCATGTAGATGATGAGAAAACTGCCTGTTCAGGGAGTCAGGAGGAGTTCTGAGAACCACCTGGCTTTTCAGTGCCTGGACGTCCTTGGGGTCTGGCAAAACACGTTCCCCACCAGTGACCTCCCTCAGGGCCACCAGCATCAGGGCTCAACTATTTCCACATCCCTCATAGTCCCAGGTGTCCCTTGGGCTCCCAGATCCTGGAAGACCCAGATGCCTAGTTTCCACTCCCACCCTGAATCTCAGCCTTCAGCCCCACCATCCTCATGAACCTAAGTGTTCAGATATCCTGCTCCCATCCTAGGTGTTCAGGTACCTGGCTCCAGCATTGGTGGTATAGTGGTGAGCTCAGCTGCCTTCCAGGTACCTGGCTCCTGCCCTAGTCAGGTTCCCAAATCCCCCACCCCTACATATTTCAGAGACCCCAGAGTAGCAGGATAGTCCTCTGGCTCCTCATCCCCTTGTGGGTCCATGATTCCTGGTCCCCAGGCTTACCACCTCCGTTGTGAAAACACAGATAAGGAAAGCGCCAGATGGTACTCAGTCCCACAGAAAAGCCCACCTGGGCCAGGAGGTACTCCATTTTATTGGCCCATGATGGTCGGTCAGTGGGGGCTTCCTCCTTTGGCTCGTCATTGTCTATGGTCTCCAGGATTTCATCATTATCTTCATCAGACCAAAGGTATGATGACACAGTGTCAAACTTCTGTCCCTCTGACCTTGGTTCCTCAGTAGTCAAATCAGACTTTAACAGCTGGGAAGCTGAGGTAGTAGTAATCAGGGATCTGGAATCTGAAGGTCTAGAAATCTGGGGTCTCTCATCTTGGGCCTCCGTGTTTTCACTAAGAGATGTCATCCTGGGTGGACTCTAGTTCCTGCTTCTGCAGGGATGGGGCTTCCTTCTTTGTTGACCTTAAGGACATCAAGAACTACAGACTTCAGATATATGAGCTAAGGAAAGACAAGACTCATCCTACAAGAACCCCTGAGGCCTCCCAAACCCTTTCATCCTTATGTGGAGAAGAATATAGAGTCTCTACCCTTGAAAACATACCAAGAATATGTATGCCTCTAGAAAATAATAATTTTAAAAGAATACTACCAACAATAATACCAAAAGACATAAAATGTCTAGGAATAATTTTAACAAAAGATGAGCAAGGCCTTTCAACACATACACACACACACACGTGTACACACTAAAATACTACTGGGAGAAAATAAAGGGATATAACATGTTTGTGAAATGGAAGTATAACAATGTCAATTATCCCCAATTTGATCTATAAATTCAATGCAATTCTTATTGAAATCACATCAGGGTTTTGGGGAAACTGACAAGCTGATTCTAAAATGTACATGAAAAGCAAAAGGCCTAGAATGGGTAATACAATCTTGACAAAGAAGAACCAAATGTAAAGACTAATTATAAAGCTATAGTAATTAAGAGAGTGTGGTATTGGCACAGGGATCTATGGCACAAATGGGTCCATGGATCAATATACTGTACTGTTTAATATGGTAGCTACTAGCCACATACAGCTATTTAAATTAATTAAAATTAAGTAACATTAACAATTAATTCCTCAGTCATACTAGCCACGTATCAAGTGCTCAGTAGCTACATGGCTACCATACTGGAAGGACAGATATCAAACATTTCCATTATCACAGAAAGTTCTGTGGATACTACTGGGAGAGTTCAGAAACACACAAATATAGATGCCTGATTTACAATAAAGATGGCACTGCAAAGTTGTAGAGAAACGGCATTCTTTTCAATGAACACTGGTTGTTAGAGCAATTGGAAATCTACACAGAGACAAATGAACCCTGGCCTCCCCAACTTCACGTATTAAATAAAAATCTATTCAGATAAGATTGAAGTTCTAAATGTAAAAGATAAAACAGTAACACTTCCAGATGAAAGACCTAGAAGAATATCTGCATGACTTGGGTGTAGGCACAGATTTCTTAAATAGGACATAAAAAGCACCAATCATAAAGGAAAAGTTTGACACACTGGATTAAATTAAATATAGAAAATTCTTCAATGAAAACTTTGCAATAAATGAATAAACATGGGCGCCTGGGTGGCTCAGTTGGTTAAGCGTCTGCCTTCGGCTCAAGTCATGATCCCAGGATACTGGGATTGAGCCTTGCATCAGGCTCCCTGCTCCGCAGGGGGCCTGCTTCTCCCTCTCCTCCCGGCTCATGCTCTCTCTCTCGCAATCTCTGTCTCTCTCTCAAATAAATAAATAAAATCTTTTAAAAAAATAAATGAGTAAACAGACAAGCCCTGGAGCAGTGGAAGATATCTGCAACATATATGGTAGACAGAATAATGCCCTTCTCCAAGATATTCACATCCTAATCCCTAGAACCTGTGAATATGTTACCTTATGTGGAAAAAGTGACTTTTCAATGTGATTAAGTTATTGATCTTGAAATGAGATTATCCTGGATTATCTATGATGGGCTTAGTGTAATTATAGGGTCCTTCTATGGGAAAAAGGGAAGTAGGAGACTCAGAATCCAAGGAGGAAATGAGATGGCAGGAGCAGAAGTTAGAGTTAGATGCACCTTGAATGTGGAAGAAGGGGCTGTGACTCAAGGAATGCTAGCTGGAAAAGGCTAGGAAATGGCTTTTCCCCTAGATCCTATGTAAGGAACACAGGAATGCTAACACCTTGCTTTTACAGATTTCAGATTTCTGACCTCCAGAACAGTACAATAATACATTTATGTTGTTTTAAGCCACTAAGTTTGTAGTTGTTAGAGCAATAGTAGGAAACTAACAAAACATATAACCAAAAAAGGGCTGTTTCCCAAATAATATTTATAAAAAAGAAACACGTACAAATAAATAAGAAAAAGTAGACAAGTTAAAAAGTGGAGGAGAGGGCGCCTGGGTGGCTCAGTTGGTTAAGCGACTGCCTTCAGCTCAGGTCATGATCCCAGGGTCCTGGGATCGAGTCCCACATCGGGCTCCCTGCTCTGCGGGGAGCCTGCTTCTCCCTCTCCCACTCCCCCTGCTTGTGTTTCCTCTCTCGCTGTGTCTCTCTCTGTCAAATAAATAAATAAAATCTTAGAAAAAAAAAAAGTGGAGGAGAGGGAAGAGAAAGCTTGAACAAGCTTACTAATATATTAAAGAAAATATATAAATTGGTAACCATTGGAAATGGTGGTCATTACTCCAGTTCACTGGTCACCAAGAAAATGTAAATAAAACCACAATGAGAATAGATGGATATATATGCAATAAATTGCATATAGTAAAATGTTAATTGTAGAACCTAGGTTGATGGGCATATGGATGGTCACTGTATACATCTTCCAACTTTACTGTATGCCTAACTATTTTTTCATAATAAAATGTTGGGAGGAAACCACAATGAGACCACTATATACCCACTAGATGAGTTAATATGAAAAAGTCTGATTAAACCAAATGATGGCACATGTGGAAACTTCTGGAACTCACATACACAGTTGGTAGAAGCATAGATTGGGGGGCGCCTGGGTGGCTCAGTCGTTAAGTGTCTGCCTTCGGCTCAGGTCGTGATCCCAGGGTCCTGGGATCGAACCCCACATCGGGCTCCCTGCACCGCGGGGAAGCCTGCTTCTCCCTCTCCTACTCCCCCTGCTTGTGTTCCCTCTCTCACTATGTCTCTCTCTGTCAAATAATAAATAAAATCTTTAAAAAAGAAGCATAGATTGGCACTACTTCAGAAAACTAGTTGGACATACCTATATACTTTAAATATTCTCATATTTTATAATCCATTCCAAAGGGATCACCTAACAGAAGCGTATACATAAGTACACCAAAACCCATGTCCAAAAATGCTAATAGTTGTACTATTCATAACTGCCCAAACCTGGAAACAATACGAATCTCCTTCAACAGTAGAATGGATCAGTGCTAGCATATTCATATGATGGGTATGCAACAATAAAAACAGTGAATTGCTGATATGCACAACAACCTGGATGAATCTCAGAAATATTACTTTGAATGAAAGAAGCAAGGCAAAGAAGAGAACATACTATATAATTTCACTTATATGAAGTTCAAGAAGAGGCAAGACAAATTCATGGTGTCAGGAAGCCAGGATAGTGTACTTACATCGTGATAATTTATCTAATTATAATTATGATTTGCACATACTTCAAATGTGATACTTTAATGAAAGTTTATCTTTCCTGATCCAAGAATAAGCCAAACCAGGAAACTGTGCAATAAGCACCAACAGCAGAAACTCCAGGAGAAGCCTCCTTTTTTCCAAAGGACCAGGAAAAGAAGCTCCTATGCACCAGACACTGTGTGGGGGTGGGGGGTGGGGGGGGATACCGATTTTCCCTTCTCACCTCAGAGGCTCACCTCTGAACTACATAAGCAGAGAACAAATGTGAAGAAGTGCAACAAGGTTCTGACAACTGAACAACGATACAAACCACTGCCCAAGTCATAGACTGACCCCAGGGTGGCCCATGCTAATCCAAATAGCACAGCAAAGGCTTTGAAGATTGAACTAAATTGTAACCAACACCCACAGAAGATATGACAAAACCTGCCATCTGAACTTACCCAGGCTGACGGCCTGCTAAAACAAATAAAGCAAACAAAATTCAACATTCTCCACAGGATTTATTTTTTTTCTTTTTTTAAATTTTTTATTGTTATGTTAATCACCATACATTACATCATTAGTTTTTGATGTAGTGTTCCATGATTCATTGTTTGTGCATAACACCCAGTGCTCCATGCAGAACGTGCCCTCCTCAATACCCATCACCAGGCTAACCCATCCTCCCACCCCCCTCCCCTCTAGAACCCTCAGTTTGTTTTTCAGAGTCCATCGTCTCTCATCGTTCATTTCCCCCTCCGATTTCCCCCCCTTCATTCTTCCCCTCCTGCTATCTTCTTCTTCTTTTTTTTTTTTCCTTAACATATATTGCATTATTTGTTTCACAGGTATAGATCTGTGATTCAACAGTCTGGCACAATTCACAGTGCTCACCATAGCACATACCTCCCCAGTGTCTATCACCCAGCCACCCCATCCCTCCCACCCCACCCCCCACTGCAGCAACCCTCAGTTTGTTTCCTGAAATTAAGAATTCCTCATATCAGTGAGGTCATATGATACATGTCTTTCCCTGATTGACTTATTTCACTCAGCATAACACCCTCCAGTTCCATCCACGTCATTGCAAATGGCAAGATCTCATTCCTTTTGATGGCTGCATAATATTCCATTGTATATATATACCACATCTTCTTTATCCATTCATCTGTCGATGGACATCTTGGCTCTTTCCACAGTTTGGCTATTGTCTCCACAGGATTTAAAAAAAATTTTTTTTCTCCACAGGATATTAATGTGATCCTGAGTTCACAACATAATATTAAAAATTCCCAGGATGCAATCCAAAACTACTCATCACTTAAACACACACAGAGAAAAATCTGACCATTTCCCAAGGGAAAAGACAATTAACAGATGTCAACCCTAAGATGACCCAGATGATGGAATTTATTATTTTTGAAGACTTCATTATTTTTAAAACTGCATATATTTTAACAGCTTTATTGAGGTATTATAGACAAGTAAGAGATGTATATATTTAAGGCATAATATGTAATGTTTTGATATATGTATACATTGTGATATGATCACCCCATGAAGTTAATTTATCCCTCACCTCACAGTTATTATTCGTGTGTGTGTGTTAACAACATTTAAGATCTACTCACCTCACAGTTATTATTCGTGTGTGTGTTAAGAACATTTAAGATCTACTCTCCTAGCAAATTTCAAGTATACAATACATTATTATTAACTATAGTCACCATGTTGCACATTAGGTCTCCAGAACTCATTCAGCTTATAATGGAAAGTTTGTTCCCTCTGACCAACAGACATCTCTGCATTTCCTCCGCCCCTCATCCCCTGGTAATATTTTTCTACTCTGTTTCTATGAATTTGACTTTTTTTAGATTCCACATATAATTGGGATCAGCAGTATTTATTTGTCTTTCTGTACCTGGCTTATTTTACTTTGTATATGTCCTTGAGGTTCATCCACGTTGTCAGAAATGGCAGGATTTCCTTCTTTTCTAAGGTTAAATAATATTCCATTGTATGTATATATGCATCACATTTTCTTTATCCAATCATCTGTTGATGGACACTTAGGTTGTTTTCATATCTTGGCTATTGTGAATAATGCTACAATGAACATGGGAGTGCAGGTATCTCCTCAAGATACTGATTTCATTTCCTTTGGACATGGACCCAGAAGTGGGATTTCTGGATCATATGGTAGTTCTGTTTTTAATTATTTGAGGAACCACCATCCTGTTTTCCATAATGGTTGTACCAATTTATATCCCATTTACATTACAGTGTATAAGTGTTCCTTTTCTGCACATCCTTGCCAATACTTGTTATCTTTTGACTTTTTGACAGTAGCCATCTTAAGGGTATGAGATGATCTTGC